TGCAGCCCCCCGAGTGCCAGGCGGTGCAGCCCCCCGAGTGCCAGGCGGTGCAGCCCCCCGGCATGCCAGGCGTGCAGCCCCCCGAGTGCCAGGCGGTGCAGCCCCAGCCACTGCAAGTCCTGGCCACAGTCTGTTGGCAGCCGCCCTAGCCCCAGCCCCAGCCGGCTTCCTGGGAAAAGAGCAGCCTGCCTGGGCTGGGGCCAAGGGGGAAGGGCCAGCAGCAGGGGCCTCGGGGCAGAGCGTGGGCGAGGCCACGCCGGGCTGTTGGAGGAGGCACAACCTCACCCAGCCTACGATATGGGCTGCCCATGCTGGGGGGGGCACAGGACCACCCCACGTGTCGCCTTGGGGAGGAACCTTTCCGCCCCACCTCCCTGGGCCAGAGCAGCCAGTCCCGCCGGCTCCTGGGGAGGCTGGCGCTACGGCGCAGGAAGCACGGCCCTGCTGGGGGAGATCACAGCACCACGGTCTTATGGGACATTCCTATTAATGCTTCCCCTCTCCCCAGCAAGCCCCACTCCTCTCCCAGCTGTCAGATCCTCAGGAAATGCCTCAACTCCTCCCCTCTCAGCTCCCACCCTCCACCTGCTCCTAGGTCCATGTGCTCTAACCTGTAGGACACTTGGCCATAAGAGAGAGTGGTGCTAGCACAGCCCAGGTCAGAGTCCCAGCTGGTGTCATTGGTCAGGCTCCACTGAAGTCAGTGCGATGAGGAGTGACACTAGCTGAGGGAGGAGCTGCCCCCCGAGTCACTTTGTTACCCTTCCCTCCCATGTGCTTGTTTGCGTCACCCCCTTGCCTTGTCCATTGTGGGCCGGGGCCATCACTTACCACTGCACCCAGAATCCGGCACACCTGAGTCTGTGGCTGCTACTGCAATAGAAATAATCATAACAGTAAATATGACAAATTCAAGATGCTTTTGGTTGGGTTCCGATATCAAATGTATCTTTGCCCCGGGACTCGCCAGCCCCCCACCTCTGCGCCTGCCCCCCCCCCCCACGTCCCCACATGTGGACTGGACCCTCTCATGTCCTCAGCAACCCTCTTCATATAGCTGGACAGCATAACTCCCACCCATCCACCCGCTACAGGAACAGGGCGGGCGCTCTGCTGTCCTGCAGTGAGCCGGGCATGTTGGTAAGAGGCAGAGTTAAGGCTGCTGACATTTGTTTGCTCCAGAACGTTGCCTGGCTGTAAGGGCGACGAGGACGGCTCTAGAGAGAGGGACCTGGGGCAGAGAAGGTCCTGGAGGGAAACACTAGGGACAGCCAAGGCTAGGGAGTCCAGACTGAGGGGTTTTGTTGTTGAATTGCCAAGAAATCTGACCCCAGCCAGGGATGAGCTGGGCACTCACCCAGAGGGAGCATGGGGCAAGGACTCCACCTGCTCATGGGGGTTGGGAGGAGTTAAGCTCCACAGGGAGGGGTTGTTGCCTCTAGCCGTAGCCCCTCTTTGTTTAGCAAGGAATGCCTTGCCTGCCAGAGACCCCAGGACCCCGTGCTTTTCTGGTACCTTGCAGAATAGTCCGGCGAAACGAGACATTAAGAAGCAATTTAGTGAAGAGCGGGCTTCAGTTCATTGACAGATTTGTGGAGTTGCTGAAGGAAACGGAGGATGCACCCAAGGACACCCAAAAGAAATACCTGCAGAAGGTGAGCACTTGCCACCTAGCGCTGCTCCCTGCAGCCGGCAATCCCACCTCTGGCTTTTCACCGCCTCCTGCTTGGTTGGTGGGGAGTGGGGGACGTGGAAAGGAGAGGAGCAGGAGCTGCCTCAGGGATGGATTTGCCAGGCCCCTGAAGAGGAATGTGCAGGGGCGAGAAGAACAAGGAGACCCGTGGTGTGTTGGTGTTTGGCGGGGAGTCATAGAAATGTGCGGCTGGAAGGGAGGGACATTGAAAAGTCTTCAAATGCAGCCCCCTGCCTTGAGGCAGAACCAGAGAAGTTTGTCCAACCTGTTCTTAAAAACCTCCAGTCACAGGGATTCCCCAGCCTCCCTTGGAACCTGTTCCAGGGTTTAACTCCCCTTAGCCGTAGAAAGTTTGTCCTAATATCTAACCCGAATCGCCCCTTGCATGGAGAACAATTGATCACGTCCTTTTTATAACAGCACTTACGGTATTTGAAGACTTATCTGTTCCCCCTCCCTCCCCTTCTTTTCTCAAGACTAAACAGGCCCAGTTTTGTAACCTTTCCTCACAGGTTTTCTAAACAATACTTCCTGTTTTGTAATTGTGCATTTCATTTTTCCTTCCTGAGTGTAGTACTTTGTCATTATTGAATTTCATCTTGATTTCAGACCAATTCTCTAATCTGACAAGGTCATTTTGAATTCTCATCCTGTCCCCCAAAGTGTTTGCAACCCTCCCAGCTTGGTGTCATCTGCACATTATATAAGGATACTCTGCACCAGGAGTCATGAATTCGTTTTTGTCAAGGTCCAAATTTCTTGGTCAAGGTATAGGCATGGTCCAGACTCCAGAGAAAATAATACAAAAATAATAAAAATAATGATAGTAAATACATAAAAAAGATGTCTCAGTCTGTTTAAAAGTGTCTTGTGGTCTGGATTTGGCCCGTGTTCTGCCTATTGCCTACCCCTGTTCCACACCATTATCCAAGCCATCAATTAAAATGTTCAGTAGTACCAGACCCAGGACAGATCCCAGTGGGCCCCCACTAGCTAGGCCCTCCCAGTTTGACAACGAAACATTGATAACGACTCTGAGTATAGTCTTTCAACCACTTAGGTACCCACCTTATAGCAATTTATTCTAGACTATATTTCTCTGGTTTGCTGATAAGAATGTCATGTGGGACCGTCTCAAAAGCCTTACTAAAATCAAGATATAGCATACCTACCACTTTCCCTCATCTACTAGGCCAGTAACCTGTCAAAGAAGAAAATTAAGTTGATTTGTCGTGATCCATGGATGGAGCCTGATCCCCCACATTTGGGGAGGCTGGGCATGCCTAGTCAGTGGCCATGCCCCCACTTGGCATCCTCCCCCCTGAGGCCCCGCCCATGCTCCATCCCTGTTCTACCCCAGACCCTGCTCCAGCTCGTCCCCCTCCATCAAGGCTCCCCCCTGCTACTCGCACCTCTCTGCCTCCTACCCTGAAGCCTTTTTGCCCTCTCCCAAGCCGCAGGGAATGAGGGGGCGCATGGCCCTGGGAAGCCGTGACGGGGGTGCATAGCCCTGACTGCAGTACCTGGCAGAAGCCACGGGGCAGGGGCACACGGCCCCGGATGCAGCCCCCCCACTGCAAGCTGTGGGGCAGGGATGCACGGCCCCGGCTCCAGCCCCCACTGCAAGCTGGGGCTGGAACCTGGACTTCTATCATATCCCCCTGTAGTTGTTTCTTTTCCAAACTGAACAGTCCCGGTCTCATTAATCTCTCCTCATACGGAAGCTGTTCCATACCCCTCATCATTTTTGTTGCCCTTTTCTGTATCTTTTTCAATTCCAATAGATCTTTTTTGAGATGGGGCGACCAGATCTACCTGCAGTATACAAGATGCGCGGATACCATGGATTTATAAAGAGGCAATATGCTATTTTCTGTCTTATTATCTAGCCCTTTCCTAATGATTCCCAACATTCTGTTCACTTTTTTGTTCCTTGGTCAGGAGCAAGTCTAAAGTGGCTGTCCCTGGTTACTGTCTCCTCTTTCTGAAACAAAAAGCTGTGCTCAGGGCAGTCTGACAACTTACTGGACATTTTGCGTTCTGAGAATGGGACCAGATGGCTGTGCTTGGAGTGGCGAGGGGCCTAGGCAGCACAGTAGTGCATGCAGGAGGGCAGCGAGAACCAGATGGACAGGCGAGATGGGATGGACATTGCATTAGTATCAGATACATCCATCCTTTCCTGCTGTTACTTTTACATGTGAGCCATGGCTGGAGAGACCATGGGGACATTATGGGATCATGACTGGGAGGGGAGGTGGGCTGGTGGGTCACCAAGGGGAGGGGCATGCGTCCACCAAAATCTTGTTCCAGAGTCCATCTCTGCTTTTTACCAGATGCTGCACGCGATATTCTTCTTCGGCCGAATACATAACACTCCCATAGAGCCCAGAGAGTTTTTACCTGAGCCTTATCAAGATGCATTCAGACGTCTCTACCCAGCCCCATTTGAGCAGTGTACAACGCACCTTCCCACCAAAACACCTTACTCCATCCTTCTTGATTACGTACGTATTCTCTGTGTGTCCTGAGTTTGTGCTAGTCGCCTGAGATACAGGGCAGAGCCTCAGCTGGTGTCCTTAGCACAGCTCCATTGAAATCAGTGAAGCAGATGGGAGCCAGGCCTTGACTTCAGCAGTGGCTGCGAGAGGAGAGTGACTGAATGAGGATGGGTATGGTGTGGCCGTAAGGACCTGAACAGCCTGGTTCCAAGGGCAAGTTCATGAGCATATTGGCACGAGGGGACTGGCCAGACTGGCTCAGATCCATTGTCTCCGATTGGGGCCAGCACGAGCCAGAACCCCCAGAATGGATAATTAAAGAATTGCCTGACCCCAAGCAGAAGTTCTCTCCTGACCTCTAGCAGCTCATGGCTGTTTGCATGCTGAAGCAGGAGTGTTACTATATAGGAATGTGATTCCTAGCTAATGTAACATGGGGGTTCATTATCGATATCTTTGACTCCTACTAACCTCCTGGCCTCAGTGAGATCCTGTGGCAGTAAGTTCCACAGGCTAATTATCCGATGTGTAAAGGTTTCCCTTTGTCAGTTTGCTTTTTACTGCCTTTCCTGCCATTGTCATGACCGTCTGCCATTGTGTTACCAGTCCCCTGTCTGGGTTAGGTCCCTCGGAAACTCTTCAGTCTTCAATAACTGAAAAGTTCTGGCTCCTCTGCAAATGCTGCCCCCTCATTGCTCACCCCCTTTTCTGGATCAATCAGTATAACGAACAGCACCAATACTACGCTTGAATCTGGGGCCCTGCTGATGGGGTGAAAGTTGGTTTATTCCTACTGCTTTACAGAACTACTAACTGTGGTATGTAACTTAGTATTTAAATCAGCTTCTGTACCAGATGACTGGAGGATAGTTAATGTAACACCAATTTTTTAAAAAGGCTCTAGAGGTGATCCCGGCAATTACAGGCCATAAGCCTAACTCCAGTACCAGGCAAATTGAGGGCTTGTCTTCACTAACGTGCTAAATCAGCACCGCTGTCATCAGTGCACGGCACCGATTTAGCAGGTCTGGCGAAGACGCGCTAAGTCAATAGGAGAGCACGCTCCCTGTGACTGCTGTACTCCATCTCCAGGGCCGGCTCCAGGCACCAGGCAACCAAGCATGTGCTTGGGGCAGCACCTGGTCAGGGGCGGCCAA